GTGTATGCGTGTGTATGTGTGTGTTTGTGTGCGTGTGTGTGTGTGTGTGTGTGTGTGTGTGTGTTTGTCTCCTGGCCGCCCGCGTACTTCAAACACCCTCCAATCAACCCACAATTGCACTACCGCCCCTTCGATGCAACTAACCAGCCAGTCAACCTGCCTAGCAGCCCAGCCCTTCCCACCGTCTATCAAGCCTCAACACAGTGCCAAATGTAATACTGCCTCGTCTGTCCTAGAGTGAAGACCGTGAGTGCAATCTTAAGGGAGCGCAGCTTCAGTGTGCAACCTTAAGGGGGCAACCTTTGAATGAAACAAAATGAGAGTGCATTTGTAGAATACAGCTTAAGAATGTCCTCTGAAGTGCATCGTATAAGTGCAACCTCAGAGTGAATTCATGAATCGAAACCTACGGGTTCATCCTGTGAGTGAAAGAACTGACGCTCTTCTGAGTGCAAAAAACCGACGCTCCTGAGTTGTTTACATAAAACATTTTAAACTTCAGATTTACTGTAAAAGAAACTGAATCCAATTGACAAGTAACTTTAACTTGTTAGAAAGAATTTAAAGGGGAAAAAATAAAATAATTATATGTTAAATGTTGTGAAATCGTCTAATTGTGAAACAAACAAAAAAATAATAGAATTTTGATATTACTTGAAATATTACAGAGACACGATTTGTGTATTTTAAAAGCTGGTTAAAACTGAAGAGAGAAAAAGATTGTTTATATTTCGTTGTGAAATCTGTTTATCTTGATGTAGTTAATGACTAATCTGATTAATTAATTTGCTTCTTTTTTTGGTATATAAAGATAGTAAGAAAGGTTATCAAAGTGGAATATCGTGAGATTTTATGAGAAATTAACTCAAACGAAAGAGATCTGAAATGGCACACTTTTAAAATAGAAGAAGAAGAAGAAGAAGAAGAAGAAGAAGAAGAAGAAGAAGAAGAAGAAGAAGAAGAGAAGACAAGAAGATGTTGAATACAGAAAAAGAGAAAAGTGTGGTCAGGCTAAACATCACAAAGTTAACAGGAGTAAAATTCGTCACATCAGAAGCTATGAAGAGAATTCAACCTGACTCTCGAAGAAGTCAATATCACTCGAGTATATTAAAATAAAAAGAATAACTTTTACAGTTTTTAACCAGATAAAAAATAAATTGCTGTGATTTGGTAATGAGACCTTTTTTTTTTTTTTTTGATATCTCATAAAAATATATATATTTATATTACTTTAACAGACCGTCAGAAAAATGGTGAATGTTTTTGAATGGCAGTGCGAAGACGTGCTCAAAAATATATACGTACGAACAAGTCTATTGGTATGGTTTTATACAAATACAATTTCATATATGAAAAGCATATTGAGAAAGTGATGATGAGAAGCTAGAAGTTAGAAAACATGGAAACCAACACTTGATTTTGTAGATGTATAACTAACACTTTCAGCTCAGTTTGAAGCTTGTAAAAAAAAGTCATCAATTTGTGCAGTTTGTGAGAAGCATAAAGGTCAGTGGCGTGAAAATTTGTGAGACGAAAGAAAAGTAACAGTCGTATTGTCACCGGTTTATAATACATGTTAAAAGAGTACATGAACATTAAACTCACGGAGAGTACATAAACATTAAGCTCACCGAGAGTACACAATCAGGAAATAATTCTTGACTATTAATTCAGTAAAAAAAAACGGAACGACATAAACATAGCCTGCGTGAAAGGGTTATAAAAAACGGTATTACAAAGTGATGTTGCAAGTTGATGTAACATTGATGTGTGTCCCTCCTCTCACCCTCTCCCTCTCCTCCCCCCCCCCCTCCCTCCCAAAAACAATATAGAAAAATCTATTTAACATATGTGATATTGGGAAAGAGAGGTTCTCAGTGTGAGTGACGTACATAAGAATAACCCTCTCAGTTAAAACATTATACGATGACGGGAAAAATGAAAAATAACGAAATAGCGGAAGGATACTGTCACCATTGCTGGAGGTTTGCATAGGGGCATGAATTACTGTTACTGCGAAGCTCTGCTGTGACCAACGCAGAGGCAAAAAATTTGTTTGAGTTATTACGAGAGTTCAGTGTACTTTAGAAAGTGTGATAGCACTCGGTAACCGATAACAGCAGTGGCAGCAGCAATGGCAGGGATATCATCAACAGCGGGAGCAGAAACAGTGACAGCAGCAGAAGCAACGGTGACAACAACAGTTTGTGAATCATTACACGAAGTAGCAGCAACAGCAACAGCATTTGCTACATCACCAGAGTCATCACAAGCAGCATCACCAGGTGCACTAACAGCATCATAGCAGCAGCAGCATTATCAACGGCTGCGCTGCCATGACCAAAAAATAGCAGCAGCATGAGTAGCAGCAACAGCAGCAACAGCAGCAGCAATAGCAGCAGAGTGGCTAAAACTATTGCAGAGTATAATGATGCTGATAGCCTGCAGCCCCTTTCATCTGCAGCCGGTGTGAGTGTGTTTATCTTGGGTGTGTGCGACAGTGAGGCCACGCGGACGGTCCCAGGCCACATGGACGGTTCCAGGCTACACGAACCCTACCACCCACCGCACTCAAGGTTCGTTATCGATTCCACCATCCGCCGCTTGAGGAGCTTATGAATACGTACGTAATTAAGAGTAATGAACAGTTTACGCTGGCAGTGTTGCTCAGCTTAGTCAGAGAGAGAGAGAGAGAGAGAGAGAGAGAGAGAGAGAGAGAGAGAGAGAGAGAGAGAACGGCAGTTCTTGCTCCTACGCCGCTTCCTGCCATGATGCAGTGTGTTCCGCTGCTACAGCAGCTGCAGCAGTATGAAGGACAACGGTACAGCAGCAAAAAAGCAGCAGGAAAGGTAGCAATAGCAAGCCACTGTTCCTTGGCCTTCTGAGAGCGGTCATCGTTGAATTCCGTGTCTCGTGTCAACACGGGTGTCCAGACCATGCAATCCTGGAGATATTTTTTACCTCGCCCAGCCCATGCCCACGCCCACGCTCACGCCCACACCTGTTCTCGCCCACTCATTCGCTCGTCCTCGTCCAGCGTCCTTGAGCACAGCGCCATCATAGGACCCGCTACCCCAAAATCCAGAGTCTCTTCCTTCCATGACCTGGTCCCACCCCTTTCAAGACTCGGTTCTTATTTTCTAGATCCAGCCCCGCCCATCCAAGACCCTTGTTCGACCCCCTCAAGAACTATTGCTGCAAGACTCACCCCTCCAAAACCCACTCCTCCAACACCCTTTCCTTTAAGACCCACTCCTCCACCACCCTTTCCTTTAAGATCCACTCCTCCACCACCCTTTCCTTTAAGACCCACTCCTCCAAGACCCACCTCCACCCTTTGAAGCTAACACTTCCCCCTACTAGCGTCTTAATTCATCCTCTTTCCCTCTTGTCTCCCTGATTTCTCCTCTCTCCTCCCTCTTCCCTCCCTTCCATCTTCTCCCATCCTCTTCCTCCACACCATGTCATCCACGGTACTGTACATAAGAGAGAATTTGAGTACTTCTTCTTTGCATTTATTTTGGCCAGTTTAGACCAATGATGGACTGATTTGTGCTCAGTGAGCACCTGTCAGAGCCTGTTTTTCCCTCACGACCCTCAACCTCTCCTAATGACCCTTCACGACCTCCTGTTGCCTCCCTCACATCACTCCCTGCCCCTTCACGACCCTGCCTCTCTCCCACGATCCCCTGGTTTTACGACACCCCATCGCTATCAAAATGTTCCCTCTGATCCCTCCCATAACCCCCTTTCCTCTTACATCCTCGTATTTCTTCCCATCACCGCTGTTTCCCTTTGCTTTTTTCCTCACATTCTCTCCCCTCTCAGTCCCTCAAGCCTTATACCCCTCCCATTCTCACTACCGGCTTCCTTCCCTCCTTCTACTCTCTGTTGTCTTCATTCCTTCTCCTCTCCTCTCCCCTTCCCCTCCTCCTTCTCCTCTCTCACATCTTCCTCCACGTCCCTTCTACGTTGTGAAGAAAGTGAGAACAATGTTAAATGTACCTCAAGAATTATCATTAAATGTAGTTTTTTATGGAATGTTATCTGCACCGTACTAGCTTCTTTATTTATGCAAGATATTTTTGTGGGATGTCGGAGTGACGCTCTTTGGTTTACTGCACAGTGCCGTCACCAGATTACTGCAGTCAGATCTCCGAGTTATCGTCGGGTGATACTGCCGTGTCATTCAAAGGTGACGTCAAGAGCTCATTTCTTTTTTTATGTCATTACTAGGTTATGATGCGATAAAGACACTAGGTAACTGTCGGGTGACATCATGCTCTGATTGTAAAGTTGTGCAGTTAGGATGCATTAAGTAATGTCATGAGGGTCAATGAAGGAGACCTCAAACAGGATAATGTAAGTGATGTCACAAGTCAATGGATGGTTCTTCAAACCGGAGATTGTAAGTGCTGTTATTGGTCAATGCATTGTCTGTTGAACATCATATTGTAAGTGATGTCACAGGCCAATGCATTGTCTTTTGAACAGGATATTGTAAGTGATGTCACTTTATCAATGTGGATAATGTATTTTATGACACATCACAGGTCACCATGTACTGCACTGTGAACAGATTACTGCATTTTGATTCCAGCAGGTCAGTGTATTTTAAAATTCGAGTGAGATATGTATATTCCATCCTCCATCACAGACCCTTTTCAGCAGATTTGCTGAACATTAGTCTCCGAAAGAGACCGAAATAAAAAAAAACTCCTCTGTTTCACGTGTATTTTCATCTTCTTTTTCAAGATATTTCTCACTTTCCACTGATCAATATTCTTGACGGTCTAGCTTAAGTGTGGTACTGAAGGTAAGATACTGGGAGTGGGATGTAGGTTAATACACTGGAAGATTTCGTGGTGTTAAGAAGTCAGTTTATGGTATATCAAGAAAAGGGCAATGTTAATGGTGTCATCAGATGATTACTGAGTGGTATTATCAGGTCATTACTAAATGGTATTACTGGTTCATAAATAAGTGGTGTTACAGTTCTTGGCTAAGTGATGTTATTTTTTTTCTGGCTAAGTGATGTTACAGTCCATGGCTAAGTGGTGTTACACTTCATGAGTAAGTGGCGTTACACTTCATGGCTAAATGATGTTACCAGTTCACGACTAAGTGGTGTTACAGGTCACGCTAAGTGGTGTTACCAGTTCACGACTAAGTGGTGTTACAGGTCATGACTAATTGGTGTTACAGGTCATGACTAAGTGGTGTTATAGGTCAAGACTAATGTGTTACCAGTTCACGATTAAGTGGTGTTACAGGTCACGACTAAGTGGTGTTGCAGGTCATGACTGAGTGGTGTTACAGGTCATGGCTAAGTAGTGCTACCAGTTCACGACTAAGTGGTGTTACAGGTCATGACTAAGTTATGTTACAGGTCATGACTAAGTGGTGTTACAGGTCATGGCTAAGTAGTGCTACCAGTTCACGACTAAGTGGTGTTACAGGTCATGACTAAGTTATGTTACAGGTCATGACTAAGTGGTGTTACAGATCATGACTGTGTTACCAGTTCACGACTAAGTGGTGTTACAGATCATGACTGTGTTACCAGTTCACGACTAAGTGGTGTTACAGGTCACGCTAAGTGGTGTTACCAGTTCACGACTAAGTGGTGTTACAGGTCATGACTAATTGGTGTTACAGGTCATGACTAAGTGGTGTTATAGGTCAAGACTAATGTGTTACCAGTTCACGATTAAGTGGTGTTACAGGTCACGACTAAGTGGTGTTGCAGGTCATGACTGAGTGGTGTTACAGGTCATGGCTAAGTAGTGCTACCAGTTCACGACTAAGTGGTGTTACAGGTCATGACTAAGTTATGTTACAGGTCATGACTAAGTGGTGTTACAGGTCATGGCTAAGTAGTGCTACCAGTTCACGACTAAGTGGTGTTACAGGTCATGACTAAGTTATGGTACAGGTCATGACTAAGTGGTGTTACAGATCATGACTGTGTTACCAGTTCACGACTAAGTGGTGTTACAGGTTCATTACTAATACCAAACAGTCCTTGTTATATCCTCAGCATATTGTGTAGTAGTTGTGACATCACTGTGTCATGATAGTGACATCACATAGCCAAATTTGTGGTGGATGAGAAATCTCATCTCTGTGGTGATTTTTGACAGCAATCACCATGTGGTGACTGTGGCGTCATTCTGTGGTGACTGTGACGTCACTCAGTCACCGTGGCAGTGACGTCACGTCTGTACTTGTCACCTACAAAGTTCTTTTATTTTAACAATAACAACAAAAACAAGAACAAATTAACTGCAGAGATTCAGCGACACTCATAAAAAAATTATATAAAAAAAAATAAAACATCTATCATGATCGGTTTTATTTCATTTATTAAACCTCGACTTTTTTGGTGTGTGTAGTAGTAACCAATTATCAAAGGTATTTGTCGATAGACACCTGCCTTTTTTAGAAAGAGAGAGAGAGAGAGAGAGAGAGAAGGTATATGTTTGTATGTGTAATAGATGTGAGATGACGGGGACGAGAGCTAGAGCCTGGGGTGTTGGTCATGTCAAGGGTCAGGAATAAATACTAATGGTATTCCAGGTGCTACTTTCAATAACTTTCCAAATATAAGGGAACATAATAGTTCATAATATAATGGTACGTAATATAATAGTATATACGTAATAGTGCACAATGTAATAGTAAATACATAGAGAGGGTTTCCGGGGTCAACGCCCCCGCGGCCCAGTCTGAGGCCAGGCCTCGTGGTGGATCAGGGTCTGATCAACCAGGCTGTTAATGCTGGCCACACATAAACCGACGTACGAACCACAGGCCGGCTGGTCAGGTACTGATTTTAGGTGCCTGTCCAGTGCCTTCTTGAAGACAGTCAGGGGTCTATTGGTAATCCCCCTTATGTATGCTGGCAGGCAGTTGAACAGTCTTGGACCCCTGACACTTACTGTGTTGTCTCTCAGTGTACTCGTGGCGCCTCTGTTTTTCGCTGGGGGAATGTTGCATCTCCTGCCGAGTTTTTTGCTTTCGTAGGGAGTGATTTTCCTGTGTAAGTTTGGTACTAATCCCTCTAGGATTTTTCAGGTGTATATTTGCATGTATCTTTCTCGCCTACTTCCCAGGTAATACAAATCAAGGGATTTCAATCGTTCCCAGTAATTTAGGTGCTTATCGTACATATGTATGCCGTGAAAGTTCTCTGTACATTCTCCATGTCAGCAATTTCGCCTGCCATGAAGGGGGCAGTTAGTGTACAGCAGTTTTCCAGCCTAGAGAGAACAAGCGATTTGAAGAGAATCATCATGGGCTTGGCGTCCCTAGTTTTGAAGGTTCTCATTATACATCCTATCATTTTCCTAGCAGATGAGGTAGATATATTGTTGTGATCTTTGAAGGTGAGAGCCTCTGACATTATCACTCCCAGGTCCTTCACATTAGTTTTTCGTTCAATTGTGTGGTTAGAATTTATTTTATACCCCAATACAGTTTTAATTTCCTCAAGTTTTCCACATATGAGTAGCTGAAATTTCTCTTCATTGAACTTCATGTTGTTTTCTGCAGCCCATTGATCCCTTTGGTTGACGTCCGCTTGGAGTCTTGCGGTGTCTTCGATGGAGGACATTGTCATGGCAATTCGGGTTGCTGGTCAGGAGCCTTGCACATGTCTGTACCTCTCTTACCCCCCTCATGGAAGGTGCCTTGATGTTGGTGAGGGGCTCTTGATTTAGGGAATTGGAACTGTGCTCCAGTTCCCGGAATTAAGCCTGAATGCCTTCCACATCCCCCCCCGGGCGCTGTATAATCCTACGGGTTTAGCGCTTCCCCTTTGATTATAATAATAATAATAATGTACCTCTCTTATGTTGTGATCTGAGTGTTGTCTTTGACACGGTTATGTTACATGTCAGATCGTCGTGGTTAGTGAAGAAGAGGTCCAGTGTATTTTATAGTATTGTAGGCTCTATTATTTGCTGGTTTAAGGTGAATTTGGTGCAGAGATTTAATAGCTTGTGTGTGTGTGTGTGTGTGAATTTTCATCTGAGCTGCCTCCTGCTAAAATATTATTTACTACTTTCCTCCATTTTAGGTATCTCAAGTTGAAATCCCCCAGCAGCAAGATGTCTGGGGCAGGAATTGGGAGATTTTTCAGACAGTGGTCAATTTTCAAAAGCTGTTTCTGGAATTGCTGGGAAGTTGCGTACGGAGGCTAGTATACAACCACAAGGAAAAGGTTTTGGCTTTTGATATTTACTGCCAAAACATCAAGTACATCAATAGAGGTGTACAGTAGTTCTGAGCTAATGAGGGACTCTGTGACGTAAAGGTCAACCTCACCTTGTTTCACGTTTAGTCTGTCGCATCTGAATAGGTTATAACCAGGGATTCATTTTTCGTTGACAAAATGATCCTTTATGTGGGTCTCTGTGAAAGCTACAAACATTGCATTTAACTCCGTGAGCAGTCCTTTGATGTAAGGTATTTTGTTGTTTGTTGATGGCTTTAGACCCTGTAAGTTTGCAAAGGTAAATGTTCTTATGGAACAGTACATACATAATAGTACATACATAATATTACATACGTAATAGTACATATGTAATAGTGCATATAGAATAGTACATATGGAAGAGCACATATGTAACAGTGCATATATAATAGTACATATGTAATAATACATATATAATAGTACATACATAACAGTACATACAGAATAGTACATACAGTATAGTACATACGTAATAGTACACATGGTATAGTACACATGGTATAGTACACAGGGTATAGCACATACGGAAGAGTACATATAAGAAGGAAGATATGCAAGGTAATACTAAAGAAAGTTAACTAACATCTGACCACAGTTATAATTTCTAAAATGATTCTTTAACCTTTGTTTTGAATTTTTATATTACATTAATTATTCTGTCTGCCTTTACCCCTCCGTTCATCATCCTACACACCCATTTATCACATTATCCTTTACAACTTTATTCTGCTCTGAAGACACCCGAACAATGGCACTTAATATTAGAGGTAGGAACTACCAGGGAGGGAGAGAGGAGTGGAGTGTTGACTCTAGGTTGCCTGGTCACCAAGTGACAGCGAGGCAGGCCTGGGTATGCTTACCCAGAGACCTGCCCTCTGGTGGGCACTATGGAAACTAGCTATGTAGGCTTACTGTCTGCATTTTGCTCGGCCACCTACCCATGGTCGTCCTCGACCATGCTTGACTAAAAAAAAATATTCGGTCTCTCTTTTGCAGGAACAGGACACAGAACACAAAATAAAAACGTGTATATATATAATATATTATATATATATATATATATATATATATATATATATATAATATATATATATATATATATAATATACAAACACTGATCTCTGGCTGAAGGAGACTCGAACCTACGAACTTTGGAACAAGGTACGAAGTGCTTTACCAATCTACCCACACTGGACCAATACCTTGGAGTCCAGCTTGCTCTAGACTTTGATCCAAGGCAGCCAGCTTTCAGGGAGAAGGCTAACAGCTTTTCATCTCATCCCCTGCATGCATCAGCTTTACTAGAGATATTAACAATGCAAGGAATTCTCAAGAGCAGGCGAAATATACACAAACACTGAAAGCTGGCTGCCTTGGATCAACGTCTAGCGCAAGCTGGACGCCAAGGTGTTGGTCCAGTGTGGTGAGAATATATATATATATATATATATATATATATATATATATATATATATATATATATTTATTGTTGTGTGTGTTGTGTGTATTGTGTGTGTGTGTGTGTGTGTGTGTGTGTGTGTGTGTGTGTGTGAGGGCACCAATACAATCTGTTGGTGCCCTCGAGTGAGGCGTCGTCAGTACTCGGCATCTGGGCAGGACTAATTCTGCCAACGGATTCAGGAGGACATTTCTCGACTGGTACTGTCGCTGGGGCTGTCACTGCCGGTTAGAGTGGAGTGAGTCATGGCAGGGACGACTCAGGCGAAACATCTGAGAGTCGTAGCAGCATACACCATAGCTGGAGTGAGCAGGCTGGCACTCAAAGTGACATCATACTTTGTGCAGGCTGCTCACTGAAGTTGTGACATGAGTCAGACAGTTGCCTGCCGACAGGGCTACTGCGGCTTGACGATGTCATTCTTTTGACAAAGTTCGAGTCATTGAAGAGGTTAGTCTAAGCATCCTCAGGCGTCTACGAACGGTGAGCATAAGAGCTTTCTGTACATGGGGGCTCAGACGTTTGTAAACTGACGCCTGTATTAACTAATGTCAGCTGTCATCGGTCACAGTGCGGTGACATGTAACACAAGGGTGTTACCAATGCTCTTGTCTCAGACCACACTGTGGTCTACACACACATCTGGGCTCAGACTACACATCGGGACACACGGAAAACTGCAAACACCCGCCCTACACATGCAGTTACAACATGGCTTGCACGAGCAAATGATGCTTTTCTGTGCCAAAATCGAAATAAGGCAATCACGGATTTATCAGAACACTGACTGAGAAGAATTAACACATGACATATCTTCTTTCAATCGTCTCGACAGTACTGAAAAAAATTGCTCACTGTGAAGCACTAGCACTATCAAAGTGACATCATGTGGTGATGTCAGACGTGAAGTCGTGAGAGACGTCGTGAGGTGACATCGCAAGGTGACGTCAGGCAGACATCCAAGATGACGTCGGAACATGACGTCGGGTAGACGTCTTGGGCGACGTCGCGAGGTGACGTCGAGCAGACGTCCTGGGTTACGTCCTGGAGTTACGTCGGGCAGACGTCGTGGACGACGTCGGGTGACTATCGGGCAGATGTCCTTGGGTGACATCGCGAAGTGACGTAGGGCAACACTGTGACGTCAGGGGAGTGATGCGGGCAGCATGGCGATATTATGGGTGATGTCATGCCAGACAGCATGTGGCTATCGATATCTGACTTGTTAACCCACGTGGCTTGCTCCATGTGGCCTTACCCACACGTGGCTTCTTGTTCCACGTGGCTTCGAGTGACCTCGGGCACTTGGGTCACGAAGTGGGTGGTACGTTATTATTATTATTATCAAGGAAGCTAAACAATTACAGGCCTGGGGGGGATGTGAAGGCATTCAGGCTTAATTGGGGAATGAGCCAGATCCAATCTAAAAGATCACAACAGCAAGGAATTCTGAGGGAGAGTGAGTAGCGTTGAGTGGTGTATGGTGGCGGTGAGATGAGAGTGTGAGTGAGGCGAGGTGTGTATGGTGGAACCAGGACCGCCCCCGCCTACCTTCCTCACAACACATACACAATGGAAG